TGCGCCTGCGCCCGTTCCAGCACAGGAAGCGTCGAAAGAAGTCCTCTAGAGGGCGGGACGGAGCCCTGCAGCCGTGCGCATGCGCAACAAGCTCTGCCGCCTTGTGAGGCTGGCTGCCTGCTGGCCTGGCCCATTTGCAGTTGGCTCTGTGGCTTGTAGCTGTGGTTTGTGACCGTGACTGCAGTGTAGGTGGTGACCCCCCACCACCACAGAAAGACCTGTGCGTGTGAAAGAAGCCTATCTTGAGAGACTGGCCAAATTCAGTCGGGAGCCCCACATCCCCCACCTTCAGGACCCTGGTTCAGAACTGGCCTCACTCATTAAAATCAGGAGGCACGCTGGGGAAGGTCAAGGCCAGGTACAGCCAGAGTTTCCAGGCAGTCTTAAGAAGAGGAACCAGATTTGGCCACAGCAAGGATTCCGGCTGCAACCCGTGCGTTCCAGAAGGGCATCTTCTCTCTGCCCTGTCCACCTGTGGCCATGGGGGGGTGGAGGACCAACAGTCCTGTGTCCTCGCAGGGCCGTAGGAGCACCAACACATCATATCCTGCCTTCTCAAACACTGCCACCTATTAATTAGCTTCACAAGATGGAATATCCCAAAATGTCATAAGGAACCAGAGAAGGTGTGTGGATTTGGTCTCCTTAGTGCCTATATGGCTTCAGGGTCTAATCGAGGCTGCCACACAGGGCCAGGCTGATGGATGGAGTTTCTCCTCCACGTTCCCATCTCTCAGGAATGGGAAAATAAAGACCACAACATATCCCACCGGGCAGATTCACGAGCAGGCATCTTCCATTTCTGCGTGCTATTTTCTGTCAGCAATCTGAAGTAGCCTAGACTCCCTGGTCTTTGTGATTGATGACTACCTTACATGCCATCCTAGAGCCCTCATCCAGTAGCTGATGGAAGCAGAAGCAGACACCCACAGCTAAATACTAGTCGAACTTCTGGAATCCAGTTGTAGAGAGGCAGGAGTGATGAGCAAAGGGGTCAAGATAAGGCTGCAGAAACCCACAGAGACAGCTGACCTGAACAAGTGGGAGCTCATGGATCCCCAGACTGATAGCTGGGAAACTAGCATAGCACTGACCCAGACTCCCTGACCTGGGCAGTCTATGGGGCCTCTGGTAGTGGATCAGTATTTATTCCTAGTATATGAATGGACTTTGGGAGCCCATTCCACATAGAGAGATACTTTCTCAGCCTAGACATGAGAGGGAAGACCTAGCCCCTGCTCTAAATGATGTGACAGACTTTGAAGACTCACCATGGAAGTCCTCACCCTCCTAGGGAGCAGAAAGGGGATGGGATGAGAGGGCTAGTAGGGGGAAGGGGAGGAGGGGAGGGGGAGGGAACTGGGAATATGTAAAACAAGCTTGATTCTAATTTAAATTTAAGAAAAAAAAGAAATAAATCTCAGTTTCTCCACCTTGATTGATCTGCTGTTTTGTTATTTCTGCCACACAAGGGTTCACCTTCCTGTGAGTATAAACCCTTGTCTTCCCGGGCGCCTTTTCCTCGTTGCTGTCCTTCCTACCAACCCTTCCAGTCAAGTTTGATCACTCTTTCTGGTGTTCTGGCTGTCTCTGATGGGTCCTGATTTTACTGTTCAGACAAATTTAACAATTTCAACTCACTGGTCTTTTACAAATGAGAAAAGAGAAAAATATTTGAAGACTAAGGCAGGAAAATCATTTTTAATCCAGGCACCCCAGACCAGCCTGGTAACATAGCAAGACCTCATCTTGAAACAAACAGGTAAGAAACTCTCAGGTCAGACTTTGTATACTAACACTGTGATTTGGAAAATGCCGTCTTATTCCAAGGCACTGCCCCTCCTGTGCCTTGGATCCCCCACTAGGTAGCCACTTTCCCAGGACAGAAATTATACCTTATAAATCTGAAAAACTTCCAAATCTTTTCAATAATGCTGAGAAAATTACTAACACTAGAATAAATGGCAATATAACAAATATTTTCATACTCTTCACAAAATCATCTTGTTTGCTTGGAGTTTTGTTTTTGCTTATGGAATGTTTGTTTTTGAGAGTCTCAAACTATAGCTTCTTGTTTGCTGGGCTTACAGGCACAAGCCACCATACCCATTTCAAAATCGCCTTTATTAGCATCTGAAAAATATATACAGTAAGCCATGGGTTTAGGCTCCAAGTCAGCACAAATCAGTGTTACTAAGGCTAAAATAGAGTTGAACCTGGTGGCACATACCTATTATCCCACCACTTGGGAAGCTGGGGCAGGAGGACCATGAGTTTGAGGGCAAACTAGGCTACTAGCAAGCCCAGACTAGGCTACAGGCTACTAGGCTATGTAGCAAGTTACATAGTCAGCCTGAGCTGCATAGTAAGATTCTGTCTCAAAAAAAATTTTTTTGTGTGTGTGTGTATGTGCATGTGTGTTGTGTGTGTTGTTTTTCAAGACATGGTTTCTCTGTGTAACAGCTCTGGCTGTCCTGAACTAGCTCTGTAGACCAGGCTGGCCTCAAACTCACAGAGTGCTGGGTCTAAAGGTGTGTGCAGCCACACCCAGCTATCTTTTTCTAATGTATGTGTTTCTTGTGTTTTTCTTTCTGTTTGTTTTCTCCTATTCTGGTTTATTTGTTTTTATTTTATCTAACTATTTTTTAGATGCTTTTCTGCTTTCTAATGAGAGAGAAAGGGGTATGAATGTATTTGGGTGGGTGGGGAAAATCTGGGAAAAGTTGGGGAGGGGAACTGTAATCAGAATATATTGTACAAAAAGATCTATTTTCAATAATAATAATTTTTAAAAAGAAGTAAAGAATATAGTAGAGATGGCAAGATGGTTCAGCCAGTAGAGATACTTGTAAGCTGGCCTGATAACCTGAGTTCAATCCCTGGAACCCACATGGTAGAAGAAAAGAACAGACTCTCAAAAAATGTCCTCTAACCTCCACATGTATGAACATGCATACACACACACACCAAATAATAAACAAATTCAAAAATAAAAAGATTCAAGTACTAAAATGCACTCAAAGACTCAAGCAAATCTTCTCTAGGTTGTGAGGAAGGCTTAGGGTCAGAAAGTCAGTGTTACCTAATGTGGCCCTGAGCAAATAACCTAGCATGAGCCACACAGGGAGCTGGGTGTCAGGTAGCATTCCAGCATTCCCAGGTATACTTCCTTCATCCTGGCCACTCTGACCATTGGTCTCATTGGTAAAATATGACCAACAATAGCAGTAATGACTGACATTTACTGAGTACTGTGTCAAGTCAAGCACATTGCATGTACCGAGCCATATACTCCCTACCACACAACCCCATCAGGGAGGGACTGCCAGTGACTCCATTTTATGAGTGAGGAAACTGAAACACACTTTAGTCATTTGCCCAAGGCTACCTTGTAGCAAGCCCAGGACCAATTCCAGGCATCTTGACTCCACAGTCCCCTCTGAGCTCTGCTGGCCAGTGACCTCCCTACAGGATTGTGAGGATTAAATTAAACAGTGCTCATAAAGCCTCAGCACAGCACCAGATGAAGATAGTGTGATTAGCACATCTTCGTTAGACACACAAAGCCTGCAGGGCTGAAGCCCAATTCCTGGCACAAAGGAAATACTCTAGAAACACCCTTTTCCTGGTGGTCAGTCCTCACATTGTAGGCAAACAGCCCACATCCCAGAGTGCAAGCAGGTGTGGGAAAGTTCCTTTATGCTTGAAAATTTGTCCTTAGGACAAAAGGTGGTCACACCTTTCCCACACAGTTCCTGGCCAGTATGCAGTTTGGTTTTTTGTTGCCTCCTCCTAATTGCCTTTATGATCTTCTAGAGAACATTTTCCTTGTATTAGGAAATGTTCACGCTTCATGTCACTGAGGGGGAATTGGCATTAATAAGTACTGCTAGTACCTGTGAGGTTTCTAAGGCTAAGACATGTTATGGTGGAAGCTTCACCCCAGCCCCTAGCATCCATAGACCCAAAGAGTCTGGGATGTTATGGTGGAGGTTCCTCCCAAGTCCCCTCTCCTATTTCTCTCCAAGCCCTGCTGCATCTCAGAAAGCTGCCAAATGATGACCCCTTCCCCCAGAGATGCTCAAGACCACTCCCACAGGGTGTTTAAACTGCCCCCACCCCCAAAAACAGACTTATGGTTTCCCATCTCTCCTGTCTCCTCTCTCTGGGGGTGCTAGAAGGTCATCTGGGAGTGTTTTATCTATTAAATGTGGGCTTTTTCTAATTTGGTTTGATTTGGTCTGATTTGAATTGCTGCATTGGTGGAGAGGCTTATCAGGGTACAAAAACTTTTCAAGACACGCTTGCAAAGCCAGGGACTGACAGGGTGCTGTTCCTTGAATGCCTCTTCCTGAGTCTCCATCTTGAGTGGAACACCCAGGTTCACACACACACACACACACACACACACACACACACACACCACAGTACACACACACACACGCCACAGCGCGCACACACACACACACACACACACACACACACACAGAGAGTCACCTTCTCCTCTAATATCTATCTATTCATTCCAGTAGCATACAAATGAAAAGTTACTGTATATCTGTATATCTATAGGCATCTTTTGGCTACAAAAGCACACATCTCCACCTGTCCTCCACTCCCTCAGACTTCACTTGAATGGTTTTTTTCATGTCTATTATATATGTAACTACATGTTAGATGAAACCTACATATGTCCTTACAAATGTTGTTTCCATTCCCATCTCTCAAATTTCCTGACTATGTTTTGAACGGCCTTTGGTTCTGCCTTCTCTGCTTTCTGTTTCTTTCTCAGGTCTCATAATGGCAACACTAAGCTGTGGAACTTGCATTTCTCTTTGAAAAAGACCATGTTGCTTGTCTTCCTCTTCCAGGGCAAAGCTCTGTATTTCTGGCCTGGGCAAGAGAAAAGCCAGGCTGCAAGGAATGAGCAGGTCAGGGTGCTCAGACTGCAGTAGGTGAGCAGGTCAGGGTGCTCAGACTACAGTGGGTGAGCAGGTCAGGGTGCCCAGGCTTCAGGGAATGAACAGATCAGGGTGCCCAGGCTGCAGGGGATGAGCAGGTCAGGGTGCCCAGGCTGCAGGGGATGAGCAGGTCAGGGTGCCCAGGCTGCAGGGGATGAGCAGGTCAGGGTGCCCAGGCTGCAGGGGATGAGCAGGTCAGGGTGCTCGGACTGCAGGTCAGGGTGCCCAGGCTGCAGGGGATGAGCAGGTCAGGGTGCTCGGACTGCAGGTCAGGGTGCCCAGGCTGCAGGGGATGAGCAGGTCAGGGTGCTCGGACTGCAGGTCAGGGTGCCCAGGATGCAGGGGATGAGCAGATCAGGGTGCTCAGGCTGCAGTGAGTGAGCAGGTCAGGGTGCTCAGACTTTAGGGGATGAGCAGGTCAGGGTGCCCAGGCTGCAGGGGATGAGCAGGTCAGGGTGCTCGCTTGTTAAAAAAAAATGTCCTAGATCAGGTGAGCATGGGAGGACATGGCCCAGTTGTCTAGCCTAGGATCAGCCCCTCCTAAGCCAGAGAACCCAGAAACATTGGCCTTAGCCACTACAGGCACCCTTCCTGGTATAACTGTTTGGGTGTGGCCTAAGTTTGTGGGCCCTGCTTTCCCTTTTGGGTTCTTTCCAATCTTCCACCTCTTTCCCAGGGCCCACATCTTTCCCTTTCAAATTAACTCTTAAACCATGGTGTGAAATCTCTTAGGAGGATTCCAGAAAGCTTCCAAATTAAAGGAACCCTGCTCTGATCAGGACACCAAAAACAGTGAAATGTGGTGGGATACGTACTGGCTCAGGGAGTAGGGACATGTTCAACATGCACATGTCCACACCTGTAGAGGGATTTCCGGGATAGTTAGAGGAAGGTGGCCATGCACACTATTCTGACAGAGCCTACCCCATTGCAGCCATGGAGCTCACAAGGTAACTGTAAGAGGAAATGAGCCTATTGCTATTACTATCCGAGCTGCTCTGTGAAGGACCTGGGGTGGAAACGTCGTGATCTTAACTCAAAAGGAACACTGTGCATGGTGTTGAGAAAAATGAACCAAGGTACCACAGAGGAAAGCGTTCCTGGGGTTTCCCACCGTACAGCCGTGGGCCTTGGCTTCTTTGGTGCTGGCTGTGAACTGAATAGTCTTCCACACCCAGCAGGCTAGGTACTGGATGGGACTACCAAAAGAGGTGCTGGTAAACATGCCAAACAAGGGCAAACAAAGCTTTATAAATTTCCAGGCTATCCCCCATTGGAAATGGGGATACTCTACTAGATACAAGGAAGCTAAGAGATTCACCTGACTGAAGACAAACAAAGACAAGGGGTTGATGAGAGATTGGAACTTTATTGAGACCTTCTCCTGATGAAACCAGAGTGGAAAGAACCCCGGACAGATCAGCCACTATTCAGGCACCTACATGGATAGTCCACTCAGGAAATCTCTGGATCTCACATTTCTCCTGGGATGAAACCCCCTCCTCCTAGAGTCAGAATCCTACTCAAAATCAATTTCCTACAGAGCCGGGCAAAGAATGGGAGCTAAACCCTGTGCTGGCCCATCAGCAGCCCGTGGGCAGGAGAGGAAAGTGAATTGGGAGGTGAGAAGAGGAACAGAATGGAGACGAAGAAAAAGGTGGAAAAAAATCTGAAAGGACCGGCAAGGTGCCTCTCCCACAAACACAAATACTGTATGAATTGATTTGCCTTATTTTACCTGCTTCCCACCAAGCATGCAGGAACTGACAGCTAGGCCAGAGTCCATACAGTTCAGCTTTTCTCCCCTCTCTCTGACTGCTTTGAGAAAAAATAGATTTGCTATACATATTTGGAGCATTTGACTTGTTGGAGGTCCTGGGCCCTACACAGAACTAAAGCAAAAGCTTCCCTTACAGCCAGCACCAGACTGCTAAGTATTCAGAGATATGAACTCCTAAACTGAAGTTCTCTATAGCCCCCACTGATTACCAGTCTGCTCATACTCCCTACCTGGTCCTCAGAAGGAACAACTCCGGCTCAGCCTTCCTTCCCACTTTCCTGCTGCTCCAGATGACTCACTGGTACTGGAGGATCCCAACCTATGCCTCACAATCCAGGCCCCCAGGAAAGCTTACTCCCCCAAAAAAGCAGCTCAAAGGAAGTCCTCAAGACAGTCTGACCTTCGCCTTGCCTGCTGCATCAAAAATGCTCTTCATCCTCCCAGGGCATAATCTCCAAGATGGCAGCATATGTCTGCCATGCAAGACTCTCAGGAGCCCTTCCTCTGTGCCCTCAGGCTACCATTGTTCTAGTTCTCTCCTGTACAGTGGACAAACAAATGCACACTCACTAGTGTGTACAGGTCTTGACTGTATTTAGTGGATATTGTCAGGTTGAACCTGAACCTCAGACCATGTCTTCCACCAATGCCAAGGGGCTGGGGCTGGTTCTGAGTCTAGGAATTTCTCTCAGATAGAAGTATTGGCATATCGGGGAATGGAGAAGGGGAAAGAGAAACCACTGTTGTAGAAGTAGTTTCCCCTAAAACTTGGGAGAAGTGGCTGTCCAGAGAAGCCTCCAAGGATCAGGAGCAAGACCCCCATTGTCCTTTCTGAAACCAACACCTTTGTGATCTGAGTTTTCCAAGACAAGCAACAGACAAAGACACACTGCAAACCAATTAACCCCTGAGTCCTTCCATTTTCCATGTAAGTCATTTCCAGGAGGAAAAGAACCTCTTGAGTACATCACCCACTCACCCTCTTAGGGCCAACTAAGTGTCTGAGCCCTCTAACCAAGACATCAATGAAATGATACTTTGGGTGGCAGATAACACCCTAATCAGAAAACTTGCTTTAGTGTTCTGCATGCCCAATCCATTGGGAAAACAGGAAGAAGATTCCAAGGTTGGGCTCAAAATCATGCAGATCAGACTCAAAAGACTGTCCACTGCTGAAAATCAACCCAAGCTTAGGAGGGAGTCAAGGAGGAATAGGGAACGGACAGAAGATTTGTGTGAAAGGAGTTGACACTGACCTGAGAACCCTCTATTATTTCAACTGAGTTTAGCTTATCTGACCCTCATTATCTTAGTATTCATTAGAAGTTAGCTGCTCTCTGTCCCTCCAAGACAAGACCCAGGAAAAACAAGAGAAGCCTGACTTGCCTGTGTCAGGCCTTCTAACTGAAGCTGTAAGACAAGCACACTATAATTCACAGTTTCCACTCTCCTCCCTAGAACCCTTGTTCCTTCCCTGATTCACCGGTCTCAATGAACTCCCAAATCTCCAATGCAGACTGATTGTCACCAGTATGGCTCAAAGGGTTAATATAAACCAGGACTTCTCAGACAGTTAGAACACAAGCTCATTCACCAATGGGGACCTGAGAATTGCTACACACAACTAGTGCTTCTTGTAGCGATTCTTTGGGGCCTCACCACAGCCTGTTTTGTCACAGTTAGGAGCACCTGGATTCTTCCCAAGCCCAAGGCTACCCAGAAGGCCGGGGAGCTCCTGGGTGATGGCCCGTTCAATCTTTTCCAGGTAGCAACCCCCCATGTAAGAGCACTGTTGAGAGAGGAGTTTGAAATTGGAAATGGGGTTGATGCCAAAGAAGTCCTTGTAGGCCTCACGGTTGGGAAGATCAAACTTGCTGACGTTCGTCTTTGCCAGGATGGTCTTGAAAATGTAGAATTTATCAGGATCTTCCACAATGTCCTTAAAAACCAGTTCCCCATCACTGAAGAAGGTCATTTTGTCCTTGTAAGTCTGCAGATACCTGTCAACTAAAAGGGCATGGATTCGGACTCGGATGGCATGCTGGCGAATAAAAGCAATCTTGTTTTCTAATCTGTTCTCAATCACCTGGTTCAAGTCTTCTAGGAGAGAGATCTCTTCTTTGAGGAACAGTTCCCGGTGGGTGTCAGGCTTATAATCCTGTGGCCAGAAGGAGCTGACATAAACCCGTGGAGGCTCTGTAACGTTGATGAGAGGGGCCAAGCTCCAGAAGAGAGCTCCATACACCCGCATGAGCATTTGTGTGGCCAGGTTGTCAGCCTTGTTCAAAATGATCCTTATTTGGGACTCGCGTCCCTTCAGCTGGCGGAAGAGCATCTCTAGCTCCAGACCCACATCCAACTTGGTGGGATCAAAGACAACAAAGATGAGATCAGCTCTGTCGATGAACCACTGACACACATCATTGAAGGGGTAGCCTTGGAGAGACAGGAATGAGAAGTCAAGCTGAGTGGAACACACACAAAGCCCGTGTGCCTCCCTTCAGTACCAGACCGTTGTGTGGGCTGAGCAGAGTCATAGCTCTGGCAATTTCCTGGGTTTCTAAACACCAGTAAGCTTATCTCTTGTTTTTTGTGGAGAACAGTCTGACCCATGCTTTAATATACAGTGACTTCTGAATCCCTAGTGAAGTGAAGGATTTGTCCAAAGTGCAGCTATTTATGCAGTGTATGGTAATGTACTCCTATAATCCCAGCACTCGGGGAAGCAGAAGCAGCAGGACCTTCAGTTCAAGGCTAGGCTGAGCCACATAATGAGATGCTGTTTCAAAAACAAAAACAGCAACAAAAAGGAAAAAATCAGGACTAGAGAGATGTCTCAGTGGTTAAGAGCACTGACTGCCCTTTCTGAGGACCCAGGACTGTCCCCACCACCCACATGCCACTCACTACTGTCTGTAACTTGAGTCTCAGAGGAGACAGCTCCCTCTTCTGGCCTCTGTGGGCACCAGGCATGCATGTGGTGCAGACATACATGCAAATAAAACAACCATACACATAAAAATAATCATTTTATTTTAATTTTGGTTATGATTTTTTCAAGACAGGGTTTCTCTGTGTAGCCCTGCCTGTCCTGGAACTCAGGGTGTAGACCAAGCTGGCCTTGAACTCAGAGATCCTCCTGAGTGCTAGGATTAAAGGTGTGTGCCACCAAACCCCAGCTAAGAAATAATAAAAATTTTAAAAGAAAAACAAGCAAGTTATTTTTCAAATGTCTAAAAAGATCTAGGACAATGGCAAGGATGTTGAAAGAGGAATATCAGGAAGTCAGACAGAAAGAGGATGTGTGGCTTACGGAGAAAAAAATGTGGTCAAGTGTTGAGTGTCTGTTGAGACCTGAGCTAGCTACAGATTAGCTGGATGGTCACCGCTCTTAAATTCTTGCTCATAAGCTATAAAATTACAAAAAGGACAGTAATACCAAAGCTAAGGTAAAGATTACTATTAGGCTAGGTGTGGTGCCGCACTCCTTTAGTCCCAGCACTCAGGAAACAGAAGCAAGAGTATCTCTGTGAGTTCAAGGCCCACGTGGTTGTCATAGCAAGTTCCAGAGCAGCCAGAGCTGTCTCAAAAACAAAAAAGGAAAAAAAATAATTCATAAGAAAGAGAAGAGACAATGATTACTGTGTTTAAAACAGAAAAGTTCCCAATTAAATCTGCAGCCATATAGGTGCTCATTATATATTAATTCTTCTCACGTGTTGGTTTTCTTATTCATAAAACAAGAAAAAAAAAAAAAACAACAAGGAATACCACTGTGGTGACTGTTCTTGGTTGTCAACTTGACTACATATGGAGTTAACTAAAACCCAAGTGGGAAGACCAACTTTTAATCTGATCTTTTGAAGTGGGAAAAGCCACCTTAGATCTGAGCCACAGCTTCTGCTGGAAGCCTATATAAAGGACATGGAAGAAGGAAGCTGGTTCTCTTTACCTGCTTGCCCTCCAACTCACTGCCAAGTTCATCCCTTCACTGGCATTAGAGCCTGTTTCTTCAGGATTCCACCATATACTGAAGACCAGCTAAGGATTTGAATTCAGGTCCTCATGCTTGCAGAGCAAATTCTTACTCTGAGCACATCATCCCCAGCCCCCTAAATTACCTCTTTCCTGTTGTTTGCGGTTCTCAATGATGCCTGGTGTATCTACAAAAGTGACTCGTTCTAGAAGTTTGTGGGGAACCTCGATGCCAATCAGCTTCTCCAGAAAATTCTGGCCAAATTTTTCCAGGGGTGAGAAGGATCGGGCACTGTCAGCAGCCATGACGATGCCCTCAATTGTTTTCAGCTTGGGCCCATGCATAAGAACAGTAAACTCGGAGGTGGTAGGTTCAGCACCTGCATGCATGGGTGAGAGATGGAAAACAACCACTGAGAAACAGATTTCTGGAAGGGGTGTGAACAAGCAAGGCATCTTGGAAAGGGCTTCCACAAGGACAAGGTAGGTGTGCTAGGTTCCTGCCTTCTCACTTTTTAATTGTGCCCAAATACACAGAACATAACATTTACAGTTTAATCTTTATGCTTATAGTTCAATAGCATTAAATATATTCACATTATCATACAAATGGTTAGTTATCCTCACTCTCCAGAACTTTGTCATCTTCCCACACTGAGACTCTGTCTCCATTAAGTAGTAACTCCCCATCCCCTTCCTTGGCAACCTCTATTCTTTCTCTGCCTCTGAGTTTTTCCTATTGTGGCACCTCATATAAGCAGAATCATACAGTATCTGTGCTTTTTTGTGCCTGGCTTGTTTTAGCACATTTTTAAGGTGTATCCATATTGTGGCGAGGCTTTATCTGATGTGTTCTGACAGCATGCATGTTTCATTCCTTTCTAGCTGTTTGTGTGTGTGTGTGTGTGTGTGTGTGTGTGTGTGTGTTACATGCACCTGCCATGGCACAAGGGCGGAGGTCAGAAGACACACCCTCGCCTTCTACCTTTTCTCTTGTACACTGCTGCATAGACCAGTTTAGCTGGCTTCCAAGCTTTCAGGGGCTCTCCTAGTTCCAATTCTGCCTTCCCAATAGAAGTACCGCAATCACAGACCCGTGCCACTCGCCTGGCTTTTCTATGGATACTAGGGACCTGACTTCAAATCATCAGACTTGCACAGCAAGCACTTTACCTACTGAGCCATCTCCTCAGTCATGTGACATTTGTTTCTAAGGCTAACATTCCATTATATGCACAGGCTACATTTTGGTTATCCCTTCATAGAGCAGTAGACACTCGAGTGGTTTCTACTTTGGGGCTTTTATGAATAATGCTGGCACGGAGGTGGTAGAGCTGCTGGCTCTTGCATGTACTTTTCATTAATGTTAGTAAGGGCATGCAAGTGCTTTAATTATTCATGTGCTTTAACAATTTAAACACTCCCAAAATTCTCACCTGTATAAAGCTGGTATCGAGTTTCTTCTAACCCCAGGAGGTAGTTTATCATGGTGGATTTGCCAACGCTCCACGGTCCCAGGAACAGCACCATTGGCTTGGAAGTAATCTCCCCATCTGCAGACAACAGAAATGAACTGACAGTAGGAGCAGCACTGTCTCCCAACACCGCACTCCCACTGTCAGCCAACAGCCCAAGGGGTTCTGCGTTGATTGCTTACAAGAACCATCACTCAAAAGACACCAGAAGTCATTGTTTTGACCTGTTCCAGACCCTTGGCATATCGGCCTGCACCAGGAGGAGCCGAGTGGGTTAATACACCCTGGCTCAGTACCCTGGGTGCAGTCTCCTGCCTAAATCTAGAGAACAACTGTGCATAAAGAACAAAGAAAAACAACACAGAGCTGAGAAAGACTGAAATTTGCTGCCCAGGTCAATAACAAGAGAAGAAAGGACACGGAAAAGGTATACACAGTCTTAAGCCACCTCAACCCCAGGCTCCGCTGCTGTCCTCTCCTCTTCACTGTGGCTCCCCAAACCCCCACCTCAAGCTCAGGCTAGTCTCAGATATTCTGCTCCAAAGACTAAAACCGACACTGAAAACTGGGAATCCCTAAATTCTTGGGCCCTGAGGCCAATGTCCTCTCAGACACCATGCTGGGAAGCAACCCTACCAAGGCTGCTTAGCTGAGGGAGCAGAATTCTCTAGTTTTCAAAACCAGGGATGAGGGCTTAGGAGGGTGTTTGGTGGCAGAGCATTTGCATAGTATGTGTGAGGCCCTGGTTCAATCCCTAGTGCTGAAAACTTAAAAGTAAATAGGGGCAAAGAAGAGGGCGAGAGCCTTTGGACAGAGATATTATTTGTCCTATTGTTGATTTCTGATCGTCTTATTTCTTTTCTGAATGATCTTCACTGAGCACCTACTTTCTCCAGACTTTCGCCTTCCTGAGCCTGCAGATAGTCCTCAAAATGTAGGCCTCCTTTTTAAACTTTTTTCATTTATTTCCTATAATTCTGTATAACGTTTTAAGTCAAAAGTCCGAAGTACAAAAAGGCCCACTTTATCTAGGCCATAACACCCTCTGTAGTAGGTAACTAATGCTAGGGATTTTTTTCTAATTTTTTTTTTTTCTTTTGAGACAAGGTTAAGTTATATTGCCCAGGATGTTCTCAAAGTCCCAGGCTCAAGAATCCAGTGATTCTCCTGCCTCAGCCTCCAGAGTATCTGGGTCTACATTTGAATTGTGGCCGACTACACTGGGCAACATGGCTAATTTCTGGCATTTTCCTAGCTGCCTTGATACCCAGCTCCTTGTTTCTGTACTGTGTACAGTGTGATCCCCTTCTGCACTGGCTTTTGGATGCCCGGCTTTTGTTTCTCCCAGGTAAGCACAGCATTAGAAGATGTTGTCTTGTTCCTGGTGAGCACAAATCCATGGCCTGGCCCCTTCCTTCCTGCCTGGAGACAAGATGGATTAGCAGGTAGACCCAGTTACAGAGATTTTTGTGAGTTCTGAGACAGGGTTGTCGGGTGCTGCTGTTCCAACTCTGCACAGTAGGGGGCATCGTGGGCATATGTGGGAGGCCAGTAATAAGCTTGAAGGATTGGGGCCATGCAGGAAGCTGGCAAGAGATTAGGACAGAGAAGCCAGAAAGGGAAGCCAGAAAAGAGCCAATTGGCCTTTGCTGAGAACCAATCCTGGGGCAGCTGGCAGCCTCTTGACCACTGAGGCTTTAAGTCTGGAGTTTCCCCAGGAGGGCCATGCCACTCTGGGTGTCAGAGTAGGGAGAGAAGGCAAGTACAGAGGAAAGAGAACACCATTGGGAGAGTCTGTAACCTCATACCAGGGTCTGCACGTCCTCTAAGAAGCAAAAGAGGATGACTGACTCTTAGGCTTTTATAGAACGGACAGAACAGGGTATTCCCTGGGGAAAGAGACAGAGTCAAAATCCTGACCGCAGCTTCGTGGCCAGGGCAACCAGCACTACCTGGGTATTAGGTTCCTTTTCTGTAAAGGAGGAATATATATGCCATCAGATACCACAGATACTCAATGGGCATTAGGATAATATGAAAACTGCCAAGTAACACAGGGAGGGACTTGTGATGTCACAATTAAAACAAGGGCTGGGGTTATAGCTCAGTGGTAGAGCACTTGCCTAGGATGCTCAAGGCCCTGGGTTCCATCCCCAGAACTGAAAAGAAAAAAATAAATAAATAACAATTATGAAAACTTTAAAACAGGAGGAGGAGTAGCTATGGATATAGCTTAGTAACAGGGTACCTTCTTAGCATGTCTGAGGACTAGGGGTAGGAGATAGCCCTAGAACTGCAAAATTGAGTAACACTTTTAAAAATGGCAAACCATGGTGGAACAAGAATTCTCTGGTACATTCTTTGAGTATAGAATAGAGTACTTCAGGGTGATTTTGCAACAATGATCAAAATACTTAATTCTAGTGTTCCATATTAATTTTTTAAACATTTATTTGTGGGTATTGGGTGTTCCAGAGGGTATATTATGGGAGTTAGTTCTCTCCTTCAGGACTGGCAGAAGGTACTTTAACCCACTGAGCCATCTTGTCGACCCTCTACTGTACTATTTTAAAAACAAACAAGTATGCAAACCATTCCTACAAGTATCTGTGCACAAAACATACCAGTGTTTGGAATGTTTTAAATTCATTTTTTTTTCTAGACAGCATCTCATTCTAAAGTCAAGGGTGATCTGAAATTCACTCTGTAGCCTAGGCTGACTTTAAATTCTCAGTGGTCCTCTTACCTCAGCCTGCCAAGTGCTGAAACTATTGGCACAGCCACCATGCCCAGCTTTGGAGCATTAATGCTTTTATTTATTACATAATGTGTTTGCATGTGTGTGAGTGTGCACAACGTGATGTGTGTATAGAGGTCAGAGACAGCTTGCAGGGGTTGATTCTCTCCTACCCTGTGGAGTCCAGGAACTGAGCTTAGGCCACCAGGTTTGGAGGCAAGTACCTTCACCTGCTGAGCCACCTTACTAGCTCCACTGGGGTGGGGTGTCTTTTTGAGCCCTGGCTCTCCTGCTGTCACTATGTAGACCAAACTGGCTTCAAACTCACAGAGATCTGCCTGCCTCTGCCTCCCGAGTGCTGGAACTAAAAGCATGCGTCACCACTCACAGCTACTGGCCCCATTTTTTTTAAAGTTAGAAAAGGGAAAGCACCTATTGTCCATAGGGAATTGGATACTGTTATACAGTGCCTGGTGTGTTCTTAGAAGGCAGGACCAAGAAGCCTTAATAAAGAATAATGTAGAGTCATGCACCTATGCATGCATGCATGCATATATATATATATATACATATATATATTCATGTATATATACATAAGCACAGTTGGCATGATATAATTCCATGTATGTGAGAAGAAAAAGACATTTTTATGCTCATAGATACAGAGGAATTGTATGGAAGATCCTATTCCTGTAGTTTTGAGCACTATAACAAGAAACTGTGAGTGGATATCTTTGGGAGTGGAATTTGATTGGAGATCAAGAAAGAAACTTTGTGCGCGTGTGCGTGTGTGTGTGTGTGTGTGTGTGTGTGTGTGTGTGTGTTCTGGAGAGAGAGAGCTGCCATGTAGTAGCACAGAGCTCACTGTGTACCCCAACCTGGCCTCAAAATTACAATTCTCCTGCTTTTTCCTTCCAAAATCTAGGATTACAGTTATATGCCATCATGCCTGGCTTTATTTTTCAGTTTATATTATTTTACATTATTTGAATGTATTGAAACAAGGATGTATTACTTTTATTATTTTGAAAGCCACGATTTAAAAGAATTCAGGCTCTATTTTGTGTGCAGTAGCACACATATAAAGCCTGAGCTACATGTTGAGACCTTGTCTCAAAAATCAGCAGCAGCAGCCAGATGTGCCTTTAATGCCAGCACTCGGGAGGCAGAGGCAATCATATCTCTGGGTTCAAGGCCAGTCTAGACTACAGAGTGAGTTCCAGGACAGCCAAGGCTCTTACACAAAGAAACCCTGTCTTAAAAAGTCACACACACAAAAATCATCATCTTCTTTGTCTTCCAGGCCCAAAGGAGGCCCTCCAGGAGGAAGAAGGAAGCCAGAAGTGTAGTCATTTGGAGGCCTATGTGAGCAGGGAGCCTGGAGGCTCTTGACCCCAGGATCACATAGGCTTACTGCCCTGGAAATCAGAATGCCTACTGCTGAGACAAAGTGCTCAGCAATGAAGTCTCTGTCACAGGCTCACAGCATTAAGCACTTACTCCTCTATAGGAAGGGCCACTCCCAAGGCTTGAGTTCCTGTCCTCCATTCCTCAGGGAATCTCAGCCCCTGGGGTCCTAGCACACATTACACATGGGTCTTGTGAGCCTATGTAGGCACCAGGGAGGTGTGAGTGGCCAAAGGTGCAGGACCAATTCTGGGTCATGATGCTGTACCTGTGATCTCATGCTGTCGCAGCTCATTGTACTTGTAAGACTGCTCCAGGGGCTTGATGGATGTATGGTAGATCTTTCGCAGCCGCTGCAGTACCGCTGGGAGAGAGGAGCAAGGAGTGAGCATCAGGTAGGGCCATCAGGCTGCTCCTCACTCTAGATCTCATACCCAAAGAGATTCTATCTCTGCCTGGTGAGGAGAGCCATTGGCAGTCCAAAATCATGATATGATTGTGTTTGGGAAGGAGCTGGTCCACAACCCACCCTCAGAAATCTTCAACTCAAAAGCATTTCCTATCCAATCTGCAAAGCCTCTTTAAGAAATAAACAAACAAAAACAAACCAAAAAAATCCCAATTCTTGGCCAGGCACTGTGTCATACACTTTTAATCCTATCATTCAAGAGACAGAGGCTGGATTTCTGTGATTCCAGGAGCATCCTGGTCCACATAGCAAGTTCCAGGTAGCCAGATTACATAGTGGGACATTGCCTCAATAATAATAACAGTAGTAGTAATAATGATTACAGACTAATTATTAGGCAGAAATATGGCTCAGTTGGTAAAGTGCTTCCTATCATGCACAAAGCACAAAAACCTGGGTTCAATCCTAGCACCATAAAAGCAACAACAAAACAAAAAATAGCTTTGGTGGCACATACCTATAATCTGTACTAAGGGGTGATAGATAGTAGGAAGATAAGGAGTTGAAGGTTATCCTCTGCTACATAGAGAGCTTGAGGCCACCCTGAGCTACATGAGACACTGTGTCAAGAAAAATTAAATTAAAACCCTAATATTCTCTTCCTCACCTCAGTGGCACATCCAGAAAAGCTAGGCTGCTTTCAGCCTGGCTAAAAGTTCTGTCCTTGGGAGATGAAAATCTCATGTCTGTGCCTCTGTTTGTGAGGCTGAGGTCTAGAGCATAAGCAGGACAGTGCCCAGCAGGCCTGTACACACTGCTCCTGGGAGGATTCAGACATGCCCCATGTTCTGAGGGAGCAGAAACCCAGGATGCAACTGAGAGCTGGCGGCAGGGAGTGCTGTGCAGCACAAGAGGACAGTATGGGGAGCAAGAACCAGGCTAGTACTGCCACTCTCTGGCTGGGTGCCAAGAACAAATTGCTATGTTAATCTGTGCTTGACTAGTTAATCAGTTAAGAAAGGATAACAAGCCCCCACTGAAATCCTACAGGTGATGGCTCTGGAATTCACCTTCTGTTCTGACACTGTGCCCTCTGTTTAGTTATCTCTCCCTCCCTGAGCCTTGGCCTTGTTAGAAGCATTACCTCATGTAGCCCCTTTCCCCCGGGGTTCTCTTCTTTGTGGTCCCCTCTGGCCTTAGAACTGCAGAGCTCTGGTGTCCTGGGTCCTAGCCCATGTCCCTTCCCCAGGTACCTGTGTAATCATCAGCCGGCTTGTCCTCATTCAGCATCAGGGTTTTCTCAATATGGGAGCGGTCCCTCATGGGACCCTCTTCACTCACATCCTCCGTCTCTTCTGGGAAGAGAAACAGACAGCATAGGGTCAGAGCAGATCTAAGCCAGTAGAGCTCTAAGCCTCACAGAGAAGGAGCAGGGCTGGGCCTCAGGCAGATGCAGGACAAGACAAGTGGCTCTCAAGTTCCAAGTCAGCCCAGGCTGTATAGCAAGACTTTGTATCAAACACCTCTCACATGCCAGGTGCCATATGTCACACTGACACTATCGTGACCCTTACACAGGCCCAGCTCCTGCCCTTAGGGAGTCATCCTACAGCCTAATGGCAACAAGCTGATGGACTATCTTAAAAAGTGGTAATTTTGAGAGCATCAAGGAGGCTATAGCAGCTTTGAGGGTGGGTTTGGGGTGGTGGAGGGGAGCAGAGAACATTTCCCTGACATCTGCTGCCAAGCCAGAGTTAGTAAAAAAAATAGGGTAGTTTTCCATAATGGGACACATTTGTTGCCTGTCAAGGACTTGCGGGTGCTCCAAGACCTGACTAGACATCCTGAAAGACTGAAAGACTACCACAGGGGCTTGCATTTTACTCAGGACAAAGAGAGCCATTAAGAGACTTTACTTATATACATGGCCATTGACAGATTCTACTTACACACACGGCCATCATAATAGGATAACACTGATGAGAAATGAGTAGGTAGCGCTACAGGTACGTTAGTGTCCATGTATGGGCTGGCAGTCACATACAGGTCAACTGTCCCACTGACCAAGCAAACCTGAGACACTCATACCTGATGAGTCCTAGGAAGGACATTGTTCATGTTCCCTAGACTCTAAGGTCACTCATTTCTAGCAAAGCTGCCTGTTCAGGAATCTTAGATTAGGAGGGTGTAGCTTAGGCTTGTGAGATAGAGGGAGGACAGTATCTGCATGTCTCATGCAGCATTTCAGTGGGTCCCTGATCCCAGATCCAGATTAGGACAGATAGAGAAAGGGGAGGAGCCTACTGCTAGCAGCACTACCTCTTAAAGAAAGCGTAAGTACCTAAAGAGAGTATGAACATTAAGCTCTGCAAGAAGCCAGGCACATGGTGCATGCCTGTAATTTCCCAGCATTCTAGAGGCTGAGGCAGGAAGACCAGGAGAGCAAGGCCACCCTGACTATTATTACACGGTGAATTCACGCCTAGCCTAGAATACATAAGCTCCTGTCTCAGAGTGGGGGAAACGGCTTTAAGGAAGCCTTCTGGAAAAGTGATGGTGATAACAGGACCCAGCCTCTGTCCTGAAAGTCACTTTCTGTTCTATCCACACAAATCACATGAGGTATTCAGGTCCTGACTGGTTTGCCACTACTGTTGCCCTTCCCTCCTGTCCTTCGAGGGCTGTCCTACTATAGAGAAGCATTTGACAGCAGTCAGCCTCAGCTCTCACTCACACCATGATCCTGACCCCTTGACTGCTGACGTTCACACTTCACATGGGAAGTCTTCAAGAGCAGACTTAGTTGGAAGAAGAGTGAGTGACCTGTGGTTTCTAACCTCCCCACCAACGCCCTGCCCCGGCTTCTACCAGCAAACCTCATAACCACAAACATGCCATCAGTCCCCTGTCCTTCAGGCTGATCCACAGCTATCCCTAAAGAGAAGCCTTCTTGGTCCTAACTCAGAAATGGTCAGGTCCCTCTGAAGCCTCCTTTCAGATCTATGCACACTGAAGGTTAAGTGGCTTAGGAGCTGCGTAAGTGGACTCTGTGGGCTGAGCTAAAAGACCGGGCCCTGCCTAACAAGCCCAGAACTAACCAGAAGTTATTCCACCCCCCACGTTTGCCCCACAATATACAAGATTTCCATAACGTATGTATCTGTCCGAGATTCTGGGATTGCCTTAAAGAATGAATTCCTACCCTGATGAGCAATTACAGGATTCCCTCTCCCCTGTTGTCTCTCTTTGGATGCCTCCGCCTCTGTATCCTGGGTCTTGCCACCCTCAGACCCTGTGTCCAAATCTTCTACGTCAAGCTGGGTGCCTTCCTCCTTGTGTTCTGTGGTTCCTGCTGCTTTCTGGGGCTCTGCAGCCTCCCCGGGGATGTCCCCCTCTTCTTCTGAGCTAGCTCCGTCAGCACTGTCTTCTTCAGACTCTTCTTTAGATGGAGCTCCTCCTTCTTCACCACCCTCTTCCTCAGAGGAGGCCTCAGCCGGGCCCTCCTCAGGCATCCCTGATACCTGGCCCTCAGGAAGGTAGTTCTCTATCTCCCTGTCCTTGGGACTCTGGGTGCCCCCAGACTCTTCATTGGCCTCTATAGCCGAGCCAGCCTCCTGGCTAGGTCTACGCTCCCCTTGGTCCTCAGCCTCCTCCCCAAGTTCTGTATCCACCTCAGCCTTTGATTCTTTGCCAGCAGGTATGGCATCTGGGGCTGTAACTAGCTCTGTAGGCTGATGACCAGGCCCTGGGCTAGCCTCAACTTCTTTTTGAGAGGAATGGACTTGGCCCTGGTCAGATGCTACTTCTGCAGCTCCTCCTGCCTCTACCCCAGAAGACATGCTGTCGGAGATGGCATCCAAGTCAGTGGGCTGGAGATGAGGCCCTGCCATGGCTTCATCTTCTGACTGCAGGGCATGGCCCTGGGGCTGGTCCTCTGACCCCTCTCTGGTTCCTGTAGCCATGGCAGCCCCTGACTCATCTCCAGTATGTGTGGCACCCTGGACTCCATCTAGCTCTGTGGATCTGTGACCATACCCTGTGTTGCCCTCACCTTTTGCCTCCACTGTATAGACCTCTTCACCCTCTATGCTAGGAGAGACCTGGGTGGCTGCAGACTCTGTTGTTCCTGCTGCTGCTTCTTTCATGGGGCTAGCTCCTAAAATTCCCTGGGACCCCTCAGGTTCCTCACTACTTCCCTCTTGTACTTCTGCCCCCATACTGGCAGCCCCATCCTGTCCCGGTTCCTCTCCAGAACTGAACTCTGTCCCCTCTTCTTCTGTCCCCTCTACCCCTCCTGGAGGAAGGGTGCCTGCTGCTGCTGGGCCCTCCTCTTCCTCCCCAGGCCTTTCAGCATCCTCAGATGGAGCTGACTCTGCAGCTGAGGTATTGGACAGGCTAGCTTCTGATTCGGAGCCCTGGCCGTTGGCAGTGGAAGGAGCCCCTGCTGGGGTCTGCTCCAAGCTCTCAGCCTCCCTGCCGTCTGGGTAGTGATGGAGCAGGTTCTTGTCTCCAGGGGCCGCATCTGCATAAAGCGCCCTTTCTTTCTCCTCTAGACTTGCATCTCCAGCAGAGAAATGATTCTCCAACAAATTGCCAACATCTTCTGTGCCACCCGAAGCAGAGACTTGCAGTTCTAAACGATTAGAACATGATTGGTCAGTTGACAGGGTTGGCACTTGCCTGCTTCTCAAGACTATATCAGACTAGCTCCCACTGCAGAGAGCACCGCATGTACCTCGTGTCCAGAGTTATGCCTCCCATCTTGGGTCCTCTGGACCACCTGCCCCCATCCAAGCCTGTGGGGGCTACAGATTCAGGAGTTAAAGGATTGACTTTCTGTCCACTCGGGAGTTAGCAGCTGTAGTAACTCAAGAGCCCCCAAAGGCCTGGCCCTGACCTTCCAGTCTTCCCCAGGTCCTGATGACTATATATGGGAAGAAACTTGTGTGAGCCCTTCCAGTCCTTCCTCAACCTTGCAACGGGTGTGGCACGTGCCACCTGGCTCCTGAGAAGCTATTCCAAGATGGGACAAATGCTAGTGCATTCCACTCCTTGTCCGTTCCTAGAGTCATTAACCAGTGTGCTTTTTATACTGCTATCAGCAAAGGAGTGAAAACAGGTGTTTGCAGGCCAGATAATCTTAGGTTACAAGGCAAAGTACTTAGGGGATTACTTGTGGCTCTTGGCTTTATTAAGTCACATATCTAACCCTGTCCCCTTAAGGGCAGGCATTTACTGGCCTCCCTACCTCAGATTAGAAGGAACAGAGGGCCTGAGGAGGAGACATCCAAAAGGGGCAGGACCTGGTCTTCCCAATGACCTCAGCCAACCCCTCCTGAGGAGATCCCCTTCTAAGGTCCTGCTGTACCCACAGAGCAGAGGGCACAGGAAGAACAGAACAAACACGGGTCCAGTCTGTGCCAAGGGTCAAGTTGGATATTTTTGCAAAACGGGGTGGAAGCAGAGCTTAGACCTATGCTTTCTGCCCTTCCCTCCCAAACGGGAATCTGCTTAAAGAGAAGGCCTGCAGGAAAAACTTCAAGACCACAGGAGATGTGAAAGCCTGGTGCTTGCATCTCCTCCTTCATTGAAATAAAAAGCCTTTCTGTCTCCAGGCATCCCACCCCTCTGTTGTTCTCAAAAGGCAGGAGCAGTCTTCAGCCATTAGTTAGTCTAGCTGTGTCAGCTCCTGAAGGATGGGAAGGAAGCTCTGGAGCACTTATTATAGAGGGGCTCTGTATACAAATGTATAACACTTCACCCCAGCCAGATGGTGGTGGTACACGCCTTTAGTCCCAGCACTCGGGAGGCAGAGGCAGGCTGGTGGTCTACAGAGTGAGTTCCAGGACAGGCTCCAAAGCAATACAGAGAAACCCTGTCTCGGAAGAAAAACAAACAAAAAAGTTCCAGGACAGCCAAGGCAAACCCTGCCTCTAAATAAATAAATAAATAAAATAAACAAAAAACAAAAACAAAATCTTCACCTCAAGCACAATAGTATGCATAGCTATTTGTAAGCTTGCTTATCCTGCCTGGCAGATTTTAGACCTAATTAGTGATGGCCATTGGTTTTCCAGACACATGGCCACCATGTGACTAAGAGGTGGCTAGAATACAGAGCTGCCAACTCCTAGTCCATGATATAATCAGGAGACACAGGAACAGTTGATGTGGACCCCAACCCCTAGCTGCATACATCTTCTTTCCAGGATCATGCTCCTGGCTCCTGGGGAGCAGGGTGGATCTTAATTGTGTGTTCCCAGCACTCAAGATCCTTGCCTGCCCTGCAGAAAGTTCTAGAAGTCTACATTCACATGAGAAAACCAGTAAGAATCCCTGGTTCCTTGGTCTCAGCAGGATGGGAAGCTAAATATTACTTGCCCTAATTCCTTCCCCTGCGTTTCTATTCCCCAGTCCCTGAGAAGAATCTGTGGCAGGAATGTGTTTTAAATTAAAGAGACTTGGCAGCCCTCTGAGCAATAAGATAGATATAAAATACACGAGATACGTTCATATAATTATTTACTAAGCCAGTCAACAGAAAATATTTCCATCTCACTCAATTTACTTAGACTTACTTGCTTCTGGAAAACAAGTATTACTTATCTCCTTGCCCCCCCCCTCTCTCTTTCTCTCTCTGTTTTGTTTTTCAAGACAGGGTTTTCTGTACAGCCCTGACAGTCCTGGAATTCGATCTGTAGACCAGTCTGACCTTGAACTCAAAGATCCACCTGCCTCTGCCTCCTGAGCGCTGGGATTAAAGGTGTGTGCCACCACTGCCAGGCTACTTATATATCCTTATAGGTAAGAAGACTGAAATTCAGGGCCCTACCTGTGTCACATGTCTAGTAACAGGCTGAGGACCTTTGGTTTCTGACCTGGAAAGGACACTGCCAGACCCTGAACAGGTTCATCACCACTCAAAGTGTGGTCCAGAGATAAGCTTCTTCCTCAGTATCACTTCAAAACCTTCTGGAGACAGTCTCAGGAGTCAGCCAGGACACATGGTCAGAGCCCTTATTTCTCTAGATGCCCCAGGTGACTAATTTACACATTCCTATGGTCTCACCATTTCCTCTCCTTCCCTGTGGTTTTCAATACATGGGATCACCTTGCCCTTGATTATTTATTTCCTCCCTTTCCTTAGTGATTCAGATTTAAATTATCCAGGATACAGCCCTACCAACAACAAAAACATCTTCAGTAATCCCAGCACACAAAGTTACAAACTACTGCAGCTTCAAAGACAAATAGTTTTGACCTCAAGACTTCTGCTGCTCGCAGCTCCTCCACATTAGGAGGATCCCCACTGGAGTTCCCAATTTGAGTTAGGCCTCCAAAAGCTGGCATCTTTCCTTGGAACAGCAGTGGTTATCAGCTTTTTCCTCTGATGTATCTAACCCTTTCCATGGGCTCCTGTTGCCCCATGATGACAAAGATGGTGATGATGGTAGTGATGATTACTGAGCTAAATAAATTCTAGGTCTAGCTTCTTGTTATATTTCTGATATTCTCAAAAGTACCTCTGCTGGGCGGTGGTGGCCTTTTATTCCAGCACTGGGAAGGCAGAGGCAGACAGATCTCTTTGAATTTGAAGCCAGCCTGGTCTACAGAGCAAATTCCAGGACAGCCAGGGCTACACAGAGAAACTCTGTCTAAAAACAAACAAACAAACCTTTGACTACAGTGTGCAGTGGAAGCGAGAAGCTGGCATCATCCAAAAGAGCTTGTGAGGAACCAGATGTTGAGGGGATACCTGACCTTCACACTGCTGTGTTTCCACTTATGGTTACTGGACCATGTGTCTACATACATTAACATTTCCCATCTTTGGGTTTTACATCTTAAAGCCAAAGCAACCCTGATTGTCTGCTAAGCAGTTTGGAATGAAGACTGATGTCCATGGCCTTCCTTCTCAGGCTAAAACTAACTGCTCTGGCAAAAAAGTCTTTCAGTGAAACCAGCTGTCCCACTGGGGCTCCCAGAGAGAGCTCATCCTCAGGAAGCGCTGAATCCAAATCTGTTGTGGGAGGCACATCTGATGCTCAGTTCCCCAAGATGCAAAGACAGTGTCCTTTCTTCCCTCCCTCCCTGGTTTCTTGCCAGAGCCCCTATTGGTGTCCAGAGAAGGAGGGATCAGAGCACACAGAGGCTCCTGGTGGGCTGAGCTCTGCTGAAATGAGTACGGTTCCATATCAGGACGTGATGTATCCTACTGTATGAACCGCTGCCAGCACAGCCACCTCAGCGCTGGCCAGCCCTGGGCACTGATGTCAAGGCACACGAATAGCAGGCCCCCAGCTCAGCCCCAGAGGCCCATGGAACCCTAAGCCCCTGACAGGCTGAGGCCAGCCTCACTCACACACAGGCACAGCCTGGCACAAGCCAGCACTACCTCTCCCGGCACCCCCCTACCATCAGCCCTCTTGGGGAACCTAGGCTTTTTGTTGCTCTCTTGACCCCACACCCCAGAAGTAACTTCACAGCTCTGTTCTCTTTCTCCCCACAGTCAAGCACACTGGTTTTGTCCATGTACTCCTGCCTTGCCCCATAGCATTTCTGTGGACTCAGAGATTGATGAGTTTCCAAGGGCCTGTGAGTGCAACTGGAGAGGAGGAAGCCCTGGCCAGGCAGGGGCTTAAAGACTGGCCAGAGGACAAGGTCAGGCAGGGACGGAGCCCTTGTCTGTGGCCTAGTGTTCTCACTGTACCTGCGTGGGTTGCCTGCTTGTGTTCTAGGAAGTACCTAAGGGAAAAGGGAACATGAAATAGCCTAGAGCTAGGGTCTCCTTCACATTCTTTATCCCCTTGAATCTATTTGCCCCACTATCTAGAGGGTTAGGATGGAAGAAAAGGTGCCAACCACAGCTCCCTTCCTTTCTGGTTTCATATGGCCTACCACCCCTCCCCACACTCCCACCCCCCACCCTCCACCCCCACAACTTTGCTGATCCGCAGGTACAAAGCTCTAAGCTAGGTCCTGCCTTGCCCTTGGGGCTCTGAGACACTCTGGAGTCCTTATTCTTCGATCCTCACATCCCTCTCAGGCAGAAAAGTCAAGAGCTAGCAATCGCTCTCGAAATGAGGAAGCAGACACAGAAAATAGAAGGCATTTGTTCCACAAGCCATTCCTGCCTAGGAATGGTGTGGCCACACCTACAAAGCTTTGCAAGCACCAGCTCTGGGGCTGGGCCAGTATGTCGCTATTTTATAAGATAATTCTAGGTAAGGCCTGAGACCCTCAACACTAAGGAGCTCCTTCCCAAAGTTGAAAGTGGAAGTCTAAAGAACAGATCTCAGAGCCCAAGAGATTTTTTTTTGTTTATTAATCTGTTTTGAGCTTACCTCAATGAAAATTCCACTGCAACTTGTCTCTTTAGGATTGGGGGGGGGGGGCAGGCACAGGTCTTACTAATATATCTCTAGTTGGTCTGAACTTACTTTGTAAATCAGACTGACTTCGAACTCAAGAGATCCTCCCGCCTCTGCTTCCCAAGTGCTGGAATTAAAAGTGAATGCTGGTTCCTTAGCAATCTTTAGAAAGGACAGCCTGAAATTATTCTCCTACATGCTTTCTCATCCATTTGATCTGAAACTATGACAGTCAAAGTCACATATAAGTGCAATACCTTTG